CCGCGGCCAACAGACCATTTCCCGCGGTCAGAAGCATCCTGACCGCGGCAAACCACTCATTCCCCGCGGTCACAGCACTCCCGACCGCGGCAAGCCAACTCCGAGCCCAAAAGCCCATTTCTGAAGCCCACAATGATTCCCTCATTTGGAGAAACCCTAAGTGACGTCCAGAGCACTATAAATACATGTTTTAGGAACCCTAATTGAAAAACCATGATTAGAACCGAATTATTACTTCATATTTTTATTGTTTTTGCTTTAGGTTTTAGGGAGAGAGAGATTTGTTCTCTTGAATCCTTGTTCTTTCTTTTTCAATTTTGGTTTCTATTCTACTTATTAATACTATGTTTTTGATTTCGTTCATTACGTCTGAGTAGTTTTATTGTTGGGATTAAGAGATTTTTGATGAGGATTTATATGTTCGATGAGGATTCCATGAGCTTTTGAGCCGAATCTTAGAACTTTTACTTCTGAATTCGTTTTTACTGCATGAGAGTAGCGTCATGAACTACAATCTGATCCAGATGCTTGGTGACACGAAAGTGTTCATCCGGTGTCAGATCTTGTTTGGGAGAGCAAAACAACCATAGGAGTGGAAACCTACTGGTCAGGGTTGATCAAGTGTCAGATCTAGTTTGGGAGAGCAAAACAACCATCCGGTGTTCATCCGGTGTCAGATCTAAACCATGGGCGATTTGTGAATGCTGACGAGTCTTAAACATAATGCATCTCTTCTCTTCCAGGGCCAGAGTGGAAACCTACTGGTCAGGGTTGAGAGAGATAGTTGTCTATGATCACGACAGTGGCGTATTCATACGTCCGTGACTCCAGTTCGAAAAGTTTAAGCTAAGATCTTATCAATTTTACTCTCTAGCAATGTTTTGAATCGTTCGTACCCCTGAGAAAACTTCCCTGAACCCCAATGCCTTCTTTCCTATTGATTTACACCGTTTTTATTTCAAGCTTTAGTTCAATATTATCTTTCCTTTTTAGTAGATTTTCATTTAAGCAATTAGAATATCCATTTTTCTCATTTTTATTCATTTTTGTTAAGTTTAGTTATTAGGTCATTTAATTCCCGTATTTTCTTTTAAGATTTCGTTTTTATATTTTAAACACACTACCAAAACCCCCACAAAAAACCGTTTGGTTCTAGACTTCCTTACTTTATACTTATTTCAAAGGCTTTTTGCAGGAAAAGATCCTCCTTCCCTGTGGATTCGATCCCTAAGTACTACAATCGATCAGCTGTGCACTTGCGGCTATTGATTTCATTTAGGGTAAAACTTGACTACCCTCAACACACACCAGCACACATCACAACTCCACTTCTATCTGTTCATCTTCGACACATTCTCGGATGAAATGATACCTCTTATAGATATGTTTGCTTCGTCCATGAAAAACAGGGTTCCTAGTGAGAGCAATGCCCGACTTGTTATCAACACAGATCACAGTGTTTTCATAGCTATGACCAGTTATCTCACTCAGCAAGTCTTGGAGCCATATAGCCTGCTTCGCTGCTTCCGTTGCGGCCATGACTCAGCTTCACAAGACGATAAGGCAACTGTTTGTTGCTTCTGCGAACACCAGGTGATAGGTGATTCACCAAAGTAAAACACATGTCCACTGGTGCTTCTACCGTCGTCAAGACATTGTGACTGCTGTAACTATACCCAACGATTTTTCTTGTGCCTCCTCTCTTGTATATCAAGCCGAAGCTTGCTGTACCCTGGAGGTATCATAAAATCTGTTTTAGTGCAGTGCCATGCGACTTTCTTGGATCCTGCATATACCTGCTTGACACTCCTACAGAGAATGCTAGGTCTGGTATTGTATGTAGGAGATATCTTAGGCATCCAATCTTCCTGCGATACAGAGTTGCGTCTTCGGATTCTTCTTCTTGCGACTTAGACAACTTTAGCCCAAAGTTCATTGGAATATGAGTTGGGTTGCAGGTGCCTAAGCCGGCCTCCTTTAAAATCCGTTTCGCATACGCTTCCTGCTCCATGGAGATTCCTTCCTTGCTTTGTTCTACTTCGATACCCAGGTAATAAGTGAGTTTATCTAAGTCCGACATTTCAAATTTTGACCACACCCCCTTCTTGAATTCCTTAATGATCTCCATCGCATTACCTGTTACAAATAGATCATCGACGTATACTGCAAGTATGAGGAGCTTTGTTCCCTCTGTTTTGCGATACACGGCGTTATCCTTTGAGCACTTCTTGAAGTTCATTCCTATTAATATCTGATCCAGTTTTGTGTTCCAGGCGCGTGGAGCTTGTCTCAAGCCGTACAGGGCCTTTGAAAGTTTGAAAACCTTATGTTCTTCTCCCTTCTTTTCAAACCCTTCTGGCTGAGATATGTATACTTCCTCATTCAATTCTCCATGTAGGAATGCTGTTTTGACGTAAAGGTGGTGAATCTCCCAGCCATGAGATGCGGCTAAACTTACAAGTAGTCTAACTGTTTCGATTCTAGCCACTGGTGCGAATACTTCGTCGAAATCAATCCCTGATTGTTGAACATATCCTTTTGCAACGAGTCTGGCTTTGAATTTTTTTATGGACCCATCTGCGTTTCTCTTGATTTTAAAAACCCATTTGAGAACTATGACATTTACCCCTCTTGGTCTGTCAACTAGAGTCCACATTTTGTCTTTATTTATCGAAGAGATTTCATTTTCGCAAGCTAGTGTCCATTCCACCGAATTTTTTGCCTCTTTGAAGTTCATCGGCTCGTCATTTATTGATAGTATTCGAAACAGTCCTGGTTTGCCGTTGTCTTCTTCGCTTGCTCCCTTCCAATTCCAACGAGCTCTTTCATTAAAAACTACATCTCTGCTTATAATGATTCTCCTGGTTGTTGGATTAAAAAGCCTATACGCCTTGGTTCCTGGTTCTTTCTCGTACTTTCTTGGTACTATATTTTCTTCGTTGAGGAACACAATTTCGTGCATGTAGAGGGCTTCGTCTGCTTCTTCAGCTTCTATTTTATTTGCTTCTTGGTTCTGCTTCCTATCAGGACATACCGAGGCAAAGTGTCCAACTTTATCGCACCTGTAGCAAATCACCGATGATCTATCCTTCTTATCTTTGGTTTGATTCTGCTCAGGTTGATCCTTTTCCCCTGCCTCGTCCTTTGTTCCCTCTACCTCCACGACCTCTGTTTCCTCTGCCTCCTCTAGAACCAGCTTGTTCCGATTTGGCGTATAAAAGCTTTTCCTGAGTATCGTCTTCTTTGTCGTCACCTGCGATTCTCTCTTCGTAAGCTTTTATTTGTCCAACTATGTCTTCATAACCTGTTGTTTTCGGATCAAGGACTTGTTCAAGTGAAGCAACGATCCGTATATACTTGTTTCTTGGTAAACTATTTAGGAATTTCTTCACCAGTCTAGACTCCTCAATTGTTTCTCCGAGAGCTTTAGCCTTTGACGCAAGCTGAGACAGCTTCCCAGCAAAGTCATCGACGGTGTATGAATCCGACATCTTCATCTTTTCGAACTCAGACACCAATGTTTGCAGCCGCGCCTCTTTAACACGTTATGTCCCTAAATTTCGTATCTTGATCGAGTTCCAAATTTCTTTTGGAGAATTCTGATCTTTTATCTGTAGAATTAGGGTTTCCGGGATTGACTGGAAGAGTAAAGCTAATGCGATGTCATTCTTATCAGGATCTGTCGAGCCTGGCTCGATTGTCTCCAAAACTTTATGAAGTGGCAGCATTACTCTCATCCTCATAGCCCATACTATATAATTTGTAGACGTCAGCATTGGGCATTGGATCGATGAAGGAATTGACTCCTTCCGAGCAGCTACGGCGGTCATTATGGCCTTGGAGGCATCGTCTCCTTCACCTGCCATTCTTTCCAGTGTCGACGTCTTCTACTCGGCGTCTTCTCCTTCTCGTTCGCTCTGATACCAAATAAAGTCTCTTAAGCACAAACACAACTTGTTTATAAGAAATAACTCTTCTTATTAATGTTTAGAAACTTGCTCAAAACTACACATCCAAGCTTTATGCTTTTCTTGTGTCTATCACAACTCAATAAACACAGAAATATAGGATTCATATTTCCTAATCCTATCTCTATTAGAACTACGAAATCTTCCTAATAGGCCTATCTTATTATTAACCGACTTGTTAATAATGTCTTGGGCCTCAAGCCAAAGAAGCTTATCCGACAAGGTCTGGCTGTCGTTTAGAAAGCCGCTAAAGCTGGTGGTTGTCGCTGATTGTGGTCAGTCATTCCTCCTTAATCTCATCTATCTGTCATTCCTCCTTTTTTTTGTAGTGTTTAGTTCTAAACATATTTTTTTGGAGACTGAACGCATGTTGGATCCTCTGCTTCAAGTTCTTCTTTATTAATCATGGCTAACCATCTAGTAAAAATATTTTTTTGTAACATTATGTTAGTAACAATTTTTGGCAAATGAACTATATTTTTTTTTTAGAAATTCTAATTTAGTTTGAGGTTTTTAAACATTAAACAAAAGAAAATTGCAACTTTTCATCAGATTATCAGTTATGTACAAAAATGTACAATTAACAAAAATAAAACAAAAATACATAACAGTGTATTTGTAGTTTTTCCAATTATTATTATTAATAGATAAGTAAATATTGATTGGTGTTATGAATAGTGTCACACCAATTTAAAACACTATATTTGGTGTTAGTTTTTAAATTCGACAGGTTAGGTGAAAAATTGCACTATATTTGGTGTTTTAGAGTTGGAGATGTTTTTAGGATGTGAAGAAGGGATGGTGGGATGTTGGGTAGATGGTCTAGTGTAATAATGTAGTAGCTTATATGTGAATTGATCGTTATACTAGAACTCCAATAAGTATTTCGTTTAATACATTTATACTTCCATGGATTCTCTGATCAGTCTAAACACGCAAAATTGTTCAGAATAATCCGGCTAAAATTTGGTTAAATATCGGCTAAAGCTATAAATCTGGATCAGAGGAATATGCAAATGTGAAAGAACGTTGCGAAAACAGACATTACTTCTCAGCTCACATTTGGAGACTAAATTATTGATAAAGAACACAAAACTCACAACATCATGGAAACTAGTTAAAGCAGCCATGTAGAAATACATAATTAAAATAGAATATCAAAACAATTAATAGAAAGAGAACGCAGAATGGATTTGGGATAGATGAAAAGAAGATTAAGCCATGGAATCAAGAGAGAGGATGGTGCTGAGGTTCATGGGATGCATGTATTGGGGAGAGCCATTTAGGATTTGTTGAGCAATGATTCTACTTGCTTTCTCTGATGGATGAAATGGATCCCAAAAGGCGAAGAGATCTCTGTTTGGGCAAAGATTAGATATCGGTGTGCATAGTCCTATCCCATTGTACGGCCCTTGTCCACAACAAGCCACTTTCGACGATACGAATCCTGTAAACGATTAGGTGGTTCAACCTCTCATAGTCAACTCTAGATGCGGCCGTAAAATTGATACCAGAACCAAAACTGAACTTGGTGCAATATTAAAATTATATATAATATATATTATAATATATATAAACACAGTTACACAGACATATATATATGGATATGATAGTAATTAATGATTTTCGAAAAATACATATTCTTGGAAAATATATTCTCTGTTCTTGTTTGGTATAGCTTTCTTAAAACAAAAGACCGAAAAGCATACCAGAAAATCGAAAACCTTACGCGTAAACAAATTTTAATGTTCAAATATCTGCCTTTTTTTTTTCTTTCGAAGGACAAATCAAAAAAAAAAAGACATACCATATGCTTGTGGGTTACTGATGAAATCCATGTGCATTTGTTGAGTATTAGCGGCGATGAAGGCCGAAGATCCAACTTCGTTGTTCAGGTCGTTGATCATTTGCACGAGCTGTGGGTTGAATAGTGACGCGGCTCGTTGTAGTTCTGTAGAACACTCGCCGTTGCGGCTACGTTGAGCCAGCTCGGCCGGGACGCAACCCATCGGCCCTGTTCCCGTCACCAGGACACGTCGAGCACCCAAATCGTACATTTTCTGTAAATAATTTTGGATTTGTACATAAGATACAATGCAGTTTCAAATATCCCATTTTTCAAAGTATCATAAGTTGATGAGATATGATTTTATATCCACTTATTTTTAGCAATAAATGTTATGTAGAGTAATTAGAAATAAATTTTTCTGAAAATCTCTGTTTTCGAATGGCAAAAAAACTTCTATGTTTTTGGCAATTTCTAAAATAGCACTCTGTTAAGTTTTTATTAATATATCAGAAAGAATGAGTTGTGGCGTAAACTAACCCGTAAAACTTTGCGGTATTCAGAAATGATATAGACAACGTAGTCAGGGAGAGAGAATTGGCGAGATCTTGCAGAGAAAGGAACCAAGTAGTAGTTGTTGACGAAATCGTTGCCTCCGAGTGTTATCAGGACAAGAGCTCCGTTAACAAGCCGCTCCATCTCTTCTTCACCGATCAACCCACTCAGTCGGACCTTGTACTGCTGGAAGTACTCCAATTGCTTTGTGATCCGAATTATGTTCAACTGTATTAAAATTACCAAAACACCCCTCGTTATCAAAATGTCAAGAATGTTTTTAAGCGATGGAATATTGACTAAGGGACTTCTAGAGACAATGCATGTCATATCTCGGTACAACTTACAAACTGGATTCCAGTGTCGTTAAGGATTCCAATACCGGCAGAAGCGAAATTGGCACCGATTAAGAGTTTGTCTTTCTTCAGCATAGGACTCAGGTACGGCAATGAAGATGCTTGACCCAAATGCTCACCTAAAATGATCATTTATTACTAATTTATTTTGTTAACATTGAGTGCGAATTTGTCTTGAAGACTAAGAAATCTTACTGATGAGGTCAGGAATGTTAAGACCATTGGAGAAACGGCCGGTGGGACGGTGAGTTGGGTAATCGATACCGTAAGGGTAATTATCGGCACGAGCAGTGGTAACTAGAAAGTCATTGTTACCATTGTCGACAAGGGAATCTCCGAAAACCAGAAAAGCCCTGGCGTTGGCTTGCAGTGCAAGTAAGCTCATCACTTGCAGTATGCAAAGCCCTAGTAGTGCCACATTAACAACCGAGTTCGTCATGGTAGATTTACTCAAGTGTTAATAGATTGAATAATCTATGTTTATGTTCCGTGATTTCTATTAGGTGTTTGCTCGAAGATGGGATGAAGAAGGGTACAAGATTTTGTGTGTGTATATATAGATGAGTATGAAAAAGTAATGGAGAGGAAAAGGAGGCATTAATGGAGGTCTTCACCAGCTTTTACCAAATGCTGTTCGATTTTAAAAGGAGACAACCAAAAAAGTACTGAAGTTGTGATTTTAGTTGGCAAATATTTATGTGCCGGTAAAGATGGTAAAATCCTAAAATTCTCAAATCTTATTTATAAATGAATCTCATTCGAGTTGCGTAAGTGTATAAGATTTAATTTTTGTTTACATTCTGATACTGAACAAAATATCTTATTTGAATGTATACTACCGAGTCTATTAGCAACAACAAAAAATATATATACAAGTGACTCATCAGGTCTTCTAAATGAATCGACTTATAATGATATCATATCCTTCGAGGACATCCACATTTGATATAGTTACTCTGCTAAATCTGTTTCGCTAATTTTTTTTGTTCTTAGCTTTAGAGCTCTAGGATACTAGTGAGGAAGGAGAAATTGCCGATTGGGAAGCACATGATTCATGAACCATCTTGGGAACCTACTGAACAACAACAACAAAACATATAGAAATGATAATTTTGAAAATAGATAGCAGTGTCGTATTTTTTAGAAAGTGTTATTTTTGAAACGCTCGCAATTTAAAAAAAAAAAACTTATACCATAGAAAAATATTGTTATGTTAAATTTAAAGAATCAAGTTATTATAGTTTTTAGTAAACAAAGTTTCATACAGAGTTTATCATTTCATAATCAAATTGTGAGCTTATCTGTCGAACTTTTGAAATACCATCAACAATGAGACTAACAACATACTCAAGCTAAGAAGCTAAAAACTGTTGAAGTTTTGACCTCAGACAATTTGTTTTATTTGGGGGGTCAATCGACCCATATAACATTTTTGAATTGTTGTTAGCAAGCTTACCTTATTGGCATTTGATTTGATAGATAGTTTGGTTGGAAATAAGTTAGTTGACCCCCACGATCCAAGTTTTTATCATCTCCTTACTATTAGTATTTTTCTTTAGTCATTTTTTTTTTGCTGAAATGTTTTTTTTTTTTTTTTTTTTTGAACGACTTGCTGAAATGTAAAATTGATTAATCAACAACAAAAGAAAAGAAACTGCACTACTTGAAGAGTTTATGAGACTAAAACACAATTTTTGAAAAAGCTAAACAAACAGAGCATTTAACTCAAAAGATAACTCTCAGACCATGCTTGGTGATGCAGTCCTTTAGGTGAAACGTTTAGGTTTTAGATTTATAAAACTCTAGGTCTGCAAGTGCACAGATGTGATATATAATACTTTGGATATCAACACATAGTCTAGTTTGTCTACAAAAATCTGTAAAGAAGTTAGAGTAGAAGTCTAAAATAAAAAATGGTTTTGATGGGGATGTCTTGAAAATCAGTTTGCAAAGAGAAAGAGAATAAAAATGATGTAAGCTAATGATAACTAAGCGTTAGGTTTTCAACGGAAATCGCAGGTGTTCAAATTGATTCCAACAAGTTAACAAAGCTCCTAATCAATTCAATATCTAAGCTCCACGAACTCAAACACGAAAATATGTTTAATCTATTCTCATAGAGCTAAACAACTACTTTCGACAACTTAACTACTCAGCTTCCGTTGGTTATCACGCAGCAGAATATGCAATAGATTCAATTTCATTCACGTTAACAGTGTTATATAAGTATGCTTCCGTATCTTATAACAAAATTGCTTTCCTGAGCTAGGTCCGGTCAATAAATTCAGACATGTACTGTTTTTATCAGTCCTAATATCAGCAGCTAGTTCATGATGCTAAGCTCATGCAGTAAGAACATACCTAAAAGAAAGAACTCTACAAATCTAGCTAAGGTAAACGCTTGTTATACTCATCAATCATGAAAATCCTCCTGATAAA